AAAAATAAGGCAGAGCTGCTAGGCTCTCGTCTTCAACAGTGGAATCTCCTAGCAGCTGATGTGAAGATTTCAAAATTTCGTGACTGTCACCAGCAGTTCAACGATTTCTTCGTAATAGAAGGTGATTTAGTGGCCTGCAACAATATTAATGGTCTGATGGAAGCACTTGGCATCGATTACGAACCCAGTCACTGGAGGCTGTTCATAGATTCATCAAAACCGAGTCTGAAAGATGTCTTGCTGCATAACGGCAATAGTAAACCATCAGTTCCTGTGAGCTATGCATCACATATGAAAGAAACTTATGAGAATATAAAGCATATGTTGCAATGCATGAAATATGATGAACATCAATGGCAGCTCTGTGACGACTTAAAGGTTGTTGCTCTTGTGATGGGCTTGCTGGGCGGATACACCAAGTACTGCTGCTTTCTATGTGAATGGACAGCCGTGCAAGAGGTTCCCACTACATCAGGAGAGACTGGCCACCTCGTCAGTCATTGGAGTCTGGGATTAAAAATATTCAACATCCACCTCTCATTGAACCAAACAAAATTTTGCTACCACCACTACACACAAAACTGGGGCTCATGAAAAACTTTGTAAAAGCTGTGGACAAATCTAGTCAGGGATTCAAGTATTTAACATCAAAATTCCCCTCAATGAGCGACGCTAAGAGAGGGAGTCTTCAATGGTCCTCAGATTCGAGAGCTTCTTAAAGATGGTGACTTTGAATCAGACCTTCATGGGGAGGAGAAAGCTGCTTGAGAAGCATTCAAGTTAGTGGCGAAGGGATTTCTCGGAAACAGAAGGGAAGGCAACTATGAAGAATTAGTGGAAAACCTCATCAAGGCTTACAAGAACATGGGATGTAACATGTCACTTAAAATTCACTTTTGGACTAGCATTTCCCCTCAGGGAAGGTTCCTTAATGTTGGTGAGGGGCTCTTGATTTAGGGAATTGGATCTGTGCTCCAGTTCCCCGAATTAAGCCTGAATGCCTTCCACATCCTCCCCTCAGGCGCTGTATAATCCTACGGGTTTAGCGCTTCCCCCTTGATTATAATAATAATGGACTCACATTTAGACTTTTTTCCAGCGAACTGTGGGGCAGTTAGTGACGAACATGGTGAAAGGTGTCACCAAAATATATCACCCATGGAAAAATGGTACCAGGGCAAATGGGGCACAAGAATGGTAGCAGACTATTGCAAGAGATGATTCTTCAGCCCACTATAAGCGTCAAGCAAAAAGGCAGAGAGTAGTTACGGATTAGAGTTTAAAACATACTGACACATATTGTACGTTATAATAAAATAATAAAATATTACATGTCTCGTCTCTTTAAACTTATAGCCAATAAGCATTTTCCAAAGTGATATTTGGATTCAGGACATGAAAATATATAAGAATTAACTAATCTCATTTAAAAAGCTTACAACTTTTCAAAAAAATTTTTTTTTGTCCCCTCATGGAAGGTTCCTTGATGTTGGTGAGGGGCTCTTGATTTAGGGAATTGGAACTGTGCTCCAGTTCCCCGAATTAAGCCTGAATGCCTTCCACATCCCCCCCCCCCGGGCGCTGTATAATCCTACGGGTTTAGCGCTTCCCCTTTGATTATAATAATAATCAAAAAATTTTTGACCAGCAACACAGCTTCAATATAAGTCCTCTAGCCTCCTATCCAGCCAGACTGCCACCCCAAAGCCCCTCCTATATAGAAAGTCTGGAGTCGTCAATGTTCACTGAATAGTTGTCTTGCCAAAAATGCGCATGACATCACAATTTAAATGACCCTTCTGTACTTCCCACCTCCGGGACTCGGGTCCCGTGCTCACCTCCGGGACCTGAGTGCCGGAGGTGAGAAGCACGTCAAATCTCTAAAAACTACTTCTCTCTACTTACCCCAGTCTAACACGTTCACACATGCCTGCAGGATGCTCAAGTCATTACCACTTAAACCTCTTTCATACTCTCCTTCCCTTTCAGGGAGGACCCCCTACCCCTCCTTCCATCTAGGTTTTATACATCCTCTTTGTCATCCTTTTCTGCTTCAAGTTTTCTCAACAGTCCCTCCTCTGCCCTCTAGATAACAGCTGTGACAACCCCATACCATCTTCTAATTTTTGTGCTCCGAATCCTTTGTATAATATTCACACCACATTGCTCTTAAACATAATGTCTCCACTGTCTCCAGTCTCATCCTTACTGGAACGTTAAAGCCCGTGGATCACATCCATATAAAAGTGTTGGTATCAGTATACTCAGTTAAATTCCCTTTTTGTATTCACAGATAAAATTCTTTTCACAGACACATCAGTACTACACCGACCTTTTTTCATCCATTTATTCAATGGTTCAACTTCTCGTTCATATATTCATCTGCTGACACGTCCACTCCCAAGTATCTAAATATTTATATTCACTTTCCTCATACTCTCGTTTACTCTGACATTCATTTTTTTCATTGCCTGAATTTTTTGTTGCTCTCGCCTTACTCTTTTATGTGTTCACTTTTAATTTCCTTCCTCTACATATTATTCCAAACTCGCCCCAAAACTTTTGCATCTTCTGTTCAGAATCTACCAAAAGAACTGCATAATCGACAAAGAGAAACTGTGACAACTCCACTCCGTATCAGATTATCACTGACTCCCTCACTTCTCTCCAACATCTTAGCACTTACTTCTTTTATAAACCTATCTTTAAATATATTAAACAATGATTGTGGCATCACATTAAGGTTTACTTTTACTGGAAAATTATCGCTTTCTCTCCAACATACCCAAACCTAAGCCTCACTCTCATCACAATTTATCTTTACCTCTTTTAGTAACGTATATATTATTCCACACATAAGCAATATCTGCCACAAAGATTTCCTGTCCGCCAAGTCGTATACTTTTTGTGACTCCATAAATGCGACAAACAGTTCGTTGCTCTTATGTAAGTATTGTTCACTTATATAGTTCATTTTCAATACTTGATCTATACATCTCCTACTCTTCTTAATTCCTCATAAAGTATCAACAGTCTTACTCCCAAATCTTTAAATAATCGTTTTCAATAATAATTTTATAATGTTGGTAAAATTAGCGACAATATGTTAGGAAAAAGGACACAAGTACAACTGTGCCACATCTTAACGTTGCCACAATAAAGTGTAGCATTAGTTACACTTGTGTCTTCTTGTCTAACAATAATAATTTTGCCGTATATTTTGTCTATTATAGTTTATTTTTCCTGAGTTCTTTTATTCTTTCTTCTTCTCCTTTCCCTTATACCAAAGAACTATGCACTCTCTCAGCTAATCGTTCGGTATCTTACCTTCTGTCTCACATATATTTAAAAAAGACGCCAATTACTGCACACCTGCTTTTAACATTTCAGTCTTAATCGCTTCTGTTGCAGCTACTTAACGCCGCCTCTTTACCCACTGCCTGAGTACTTCTAGTACTATATTAGTTGTCCATCTGCTGTACTAGCTAGTTGCTTCATCCTTTAAGCTGTCTTCCGAGTATTGCAAATCACTTTAATGCTTAGAGACCTAGACTTAATATTATTTAATGTTACGTATTTAGTATTTAATGCTCGTGAGAATGTGATTTTGCTACGAAAATTCTCAACATTTTCTATAACAATATATGCGATAAGCATAAACACATAAATTAGAAACTACTTATAAGTTTATTTAACAGTCCAAGCCAGAGAACCTGAGATAGCGATATAATATCACTCTCGTAATAAAAAATTGGAACCATACCCCCGGCCGGGATTGAACCCGCGGTCATAGAGTCTCAAAACTCCAGCCCGTCGCGCTAGTTTGCGTTTAATTTTAATTCAATCATTGGAAGTGTATTGGCTAACTGATAAATTGTAATTGGTGTAATGTAAAACATATTGCGTTGAAAAGTTTCATTAAGAATAGACGTCACAATACCGTGACTGTAACACTTCAAGTTGTGACTTGGTAATGGTCCAGGACCAACCCTAATCTTGTCGCCATATCAGATGTGAATATAGCTTTAAAACTCTTATTTTGAATTTATTCCTTCTAGTGCAGCTTCTACATAACGTTTTTTTCATAGCACTGTTTCATATTTAGCGGTTGATCTGGGTAGGCTAGAGTGACCTTGAATACCATGCAGACCAAACACTTCCCTTGTGGTACACGTCAGAGCACTCTGTATTATGTTCAGCAACTGACTCAAAAAGCTTGAGTTACAATCCAACCCAAACATTTTCACTTATGGTACAAAATAAGAGGATAACGTTATCAATCACGTGGCACCATGAACCACTATTCAGTACAGTTTTAGTCTTCACTACATGTACAAACTACCTTAATATACAGGTTACCACAGTGTTCTTTATCCCTCTGTAAAACAGTGATGATGAGAACTTATTTCAGACTTAATAGAAGTGAAGCTATGAGGTGTGTGATGTTGAGGTGGTGGTTATCCTGTGTTTTATCTACATAGATTATAACTTATGTACACACATAATATAGCGTACCCATATACCTATTATAAACGTCTTAAGAAGTGATTAATAATAACGCACATGGAGACAAACTCAAGAATTGATCTTTATGTTTGAACCCCTTTCTGAGATCCTTACTTAACATCCAGAGTCTGTCTCCATGTAGGTATTACTGAGCTTTGACAAGTCTTTATTACACTTTATTTATTCATTATAAAAAATATCAACTACAATTGGTCTTGACCTGTACCTAATACTGAAGTCGTTTAAATTCTCATAAAATTACTTAGACAATTATGTACATGTTAAGAGCATAAAACTATACGAAAAGTTAGTTTTGGATAGTACAAATTGTGTATGAGTGAATTACTTCTATCTTAGAAATCAAAATTGAGATTTATCTAACAACTTTCGTGAACTGAACAGTATGAGGAATAGTAAGTGCTGGGGGCTCGAACCACCGTCTGAGGCTGTGCATGCAAGGATTATAGAAACAAGAGGCACCAGAGGATACCTACATAACCACATGTTACCTTCGGGTCTTCTCTGCAGCCTCAGATCTCTGCAACAAAAAAAAACATAGTTTAGTCCTTGAACGGTTGTAACATGTATAATACGTAGTGCACTCAGAAATATACCTCTTCACCACTCACATATTTAACTCAATCTATCCATACTCGCATATTTATCACCTTTACCCATCTATACTCGTATATCAACTCAACTTTACCCATCTATACTCGTATATCAACTCAACTTTACCCATCTATACTCGTATATCAACTCAACTTTACCCATCTATACTCGTATATCAACTCAACTTTACCCATCTATACTCGTATATCAACTCAACTTTACCCATCTATACTCGTATATCAACTCAACTTTTCTATACTCGCATATTTATCACCTCTACACTTCTTTGTTCATATTTATCAACGCTACTCCTCTTTACTTGTATATTTATCAACTCTAGCCTCTTGTACTCACATTTCCTATTTTCACTGTGGTATTTTTTCATGTATTACCTAATATATATATATATATATATATATATATATATATATATATATATATATATATATATATATATATGTGTGTGTGTGTGTGTGTATGTGTGTGTATGTGTGTGTATGTGTGTGTATGTGTGTGTATGTGTGTGTATGTGTGTATGTGTGTGTATGTGTGTGTATGTGTGTGTATGTGTGTGTATGTGTGTGTGTGTGTGTATGTGTGTGTATGTGTGTGTATGTGTGTGTATGTGTGTGTATGTGTGTGTATGTGTGTATGTGTGTGTATGTGTGTGTGTGTGTGTGTGTGTGTGTGTGTGTGTGTGTGTGTGTGTACTCACCTAGTTGTACTCACCTAGTTGAGGTTGCGGGGGTCGAGTCCGAGCTCCTGGCCCCGCCTCTTCACTGATCGCTACTAGGTCACTCTCCCTGAGCCGTGAGCTTTATCATACCTCTGCTTAAAGCTATGTATGGATCCTGCCTCCACTACATCGCTTCCCAAACTATTCCACTTACTGACTACTCTGTGGCTGAAGAAATACTTCCTAACATCCCTGTGATTCATCTGTGTCTTCAGCTTCCAACTGTGTCCCCTTGTTACTGTGTCCAATCTCTGGAACATCCTGTCTTTGTCCACCTTGTCAATTCCTCTCAGTATTTTGTATGTCGTTATCATGTCCCCCCTATCTCTCCTGTCCTCCAGTGTCGTCAGGTTGATTTCCCTTAACCTCTCCTCGTAGGACATACCTCTTAGCTCTGGGACTAGTCTTGTTGCAAACCTTTGCACTTTCTCTAGTTTCTTTACGTGCTTGGCTAGGTGTGGGTTCCAAACTGGTGCCGCATACTCCAATATGGGCCTAACGTACACGGTGTACAGGGTCCTGAATGATTCCTTATTAAGATGTCGGAATGCTGTTCTGAGGTTTGCTAGGCGCCCATATGCTGCAGCAGTTATTTGGTTGATGTGCGCTTCAGGAGATGTGCCTGGTGTTATACTCACCCCAAGATCTTTTTCCTTGAGTGAGGTTTGTAGTCTCTGACCCCCTAGACTGTACTCCGTCTGCGGCCTTCTTTGCCCTTCCCCAATCTTCATGACTTTGCACTTGCACTTGGTGTGTGTGTGTGTGTGTACTCACATAGTTGAGGTTGCAGGGGTCGAGTCCAAGCTCCTGGCCCCGCCTCTTCACTGGTCGCTACTAGGTGTGTGTGTGTGTGTGTGTGTGTATTATTGCAACCACGGACGAATTGTATTGATTAATAACAACAATGCGCTAGCCAAGGATTCGAGCCTATGTTCTACTGGTCTGCCTCATGGTAAGCGAGAACGATATAATGCTTTTGGGTGGTCCTGTGGTTTAAAACGTCATGTGGTTCTCGCTTATCATGAGGCAGGCCAGTACAATATGGGTTCGAGTCCTTGGCTAGCGCAGTGTTGTTATTGATATATATATATATATATATATATATATATATATATATATATATATATATATATATATATAATATGCAAACAATTGCAGACGGGCGATCTTAACTTTGCAGGACAAGCCACGGGTAGGTGGAAATCTTTAGCTCAAGTACTTTCAGACTTCTCAGTGCGTCATCAGGAGCTGTGCAATGTTGCAAGGGAGCAATCAAAGCAGGGAGAGAGGTCTCAGAGTAGCGTAGGTGAGTCTAAGGGTAACCGTGGCCAGTGACACCTACGCTACTCTGAGACCTCTCTCCCTGCTTTGATTGTTCCCTTGCAACATTGCACAGCTCCTGATGACGCACTGAGAGGTGTGAAAGTAGTTGAGCTAAAGATTTCCACCCCCTGTGGCTTATCCTACACACACACACATTTATTATATATATATATATATATATATATATATATATATATATATATATATATATATATATATATATATATATATATATATATATATATATAACAAGTCGGCCGTCTCCCACCGAGGCAGGATGACCCAAAAAGAAAGAAAATCCCCAAAAAGAAAATACTTTCATCATCATTCAACACTTTTTCACCTCATTCATACATAATCACACACACACACACACACACACACACACACACACACACACACACACACACACACACACACACACACACACACACACAGCCTAGAAAGTGATGTAGTGGAGGCAGGAACCATACATAGTTTTAAGACGAGGTATGATAAAGCTCATGAAGCGGGGAGAGAGAGGACCCAGTAGCAACCGTTGAAGAGGCGGGGCCAGGAGCTAAGACTCGACCCCTGCAACCACAAATAGGTGAGTACACACACACACATATATATATATATATATATATATATATATATATATATATATATATATATATATATATATATATATATATATGTATATATATATATATATATATATATATATATATATATATATATATATATATATATATGTCGTGCCGATTAGCTGAATAAGGTAAGCTAAAATTTGCGTATGGACTAATTTCTCAAAAATCATTCTGAACCTACCGAAAAAAAATATAATTCATTGTGGTTTTATTATGAAATTATTGTAAACTTATCTAAAATATATTATAATGGATTAGGCTAAATTAAATTGCGCTTGTTATAATAAGGCTAGGTAAGTTTCCTAAGGATCTTTGGGTACAAAGTATTAATTTTTACAGTAACATAAATGAAAAAATTGTATCTAAACGTATAAGAGAAAATTTTAGAAAGGACATAATTTTAAATGAGTTCTTGCTAATTGACTGACGTCAACCTTGTGATCCAAGAGTGACGTCAACCTTGTGATCCAAGAGTGACGTCAACCTTGTGATCCAAGAGTGACGTCAACCTTGTGATCCAAGAGTGACGTCAACCTTGTGATCCAAGAGTGACGTCAACCTTGTGATCCAAGAGTGACGTCAACCTTGTGATCCAAGAGTGACGTCAGCCGTGTGATCCAAGAGTGACGTCAACCTTGTGATCCAAGAGTGACGTCAACCTTGTGATCCAAGAGTGACGTCAACCTTGTGATCCAAGAGTGACGTCAACCTTGTGATCCAAGAGTGACGTCAACCTTGTGATCCAAGAGTGACGTCAACCTTGTGATCCAAGAGTGACGTCAACCTTGTGATCCAAGAGTGACGTCAACCTTGTGATCCAAGAGTGACGTCAACCTTGTGATCCAAGAGTGACGTCAACCTTGTGATCCAAGAGTGACGTCAACCTTGTGATCCAAGAGTGACGTCAACCTTGTGATCCAAGAGTGACGTCAACCTTGTGATCCAAGAGTGACGTCAACCTTGTGATCCAAGAGTGACGTCAACCTTGTGATCCAAGAGTGACGTCAGCCGTGTGATCCAAGAGTGACGTCAACCTTGTGATCCAAGAGTGACGTCAACCTTGTGATCCAAGAGTGACGTCAACCTTGTGATCCAGAGTGAGTACTGTGATCAGGTGACGTCAACCTTGTGATCCAAGAGTGACGTCAACCTTGTGATCCAAGAGTGACGTCAACCTTGTGATCCAAGAGTGACGTCAACCTTGTGATCCAATGATACCTGTGCCAGAGTGACGTCAACCTTGTGATCCAAGAGTGACGTCAACCTTGTGATCCAAGAGTGACGTCAACCTTGTGATCCAAGAGTGACGTCAGCCGTTGTGATCCAAGAGGACGTCAACCTGGATCAGGTGACGTCAACCTTGTGATCCAAGAGTGACGTCAACCTTGTGATCCAAGAGTGACGTCACCTTGTGATCCAAGAGTGACGTCAACCTTGTGATCCAAGAGTGACGTCAACCTTGTGATCCAAGAGTGACGTCAGCCGTGTGATCCAAGAGTGACGTAAGCCGTGTGATCCAAGAGTGACGTCAACCTTGTGATCCAAGAGTGACGTCAACCTTGTGATCCAAGAGTGACGTCAACCTTGTGATCAAGAGTGACGTCAACCTTGTGATCCAAGAGTGACGTCAACCTTGTGATCCAAGAGTGACGTCAACCTTGTGATTCAAGAGTGACGTCAACCTTGTGATTCAAGAGTGACGTCAACCTTGTGATCCAAGAGTGACGTCAACCTTGTGATCCAAGAGTGACATCAACCTTGTGATCAAGAGTGACGTCAACCTTGTGATCCAAGAGTGACGTCAACCTTGTATCCAAGAGTGACGTCAACCTTGTGATCCAAGAGTGCGTCAACCTTGTGATCCAAGAGTGACGTCACCCTTGTGATCCAAGAGTGACGTCACCCTTGTGATCCAAGAGTGGCGTCAGCCTTGTGATCCAAGAGTGACGTCAGCCTTGTGATCCAAGAGTGACGTCAGCCTTGTGATCCAAGAGTGGCTTCAAGCTTGTGATCCAAGAGTGACGTCAAGCCTTGTGATCCAAGAGTGACGTCACCTTGTGATCCAAGAGTGGCGTCAACCTTGTGATCCAAGAGTGACTTCAACCTTGTGATCCAAGAGTGACGTTCAGCCTTGTGATCCAAGAGTGACGTCACCTTGTGATCCAAGAGTGACGTCAACCTTGTGATCCAAGAGTGACTTCAACCTTGTGATCCAAGAGTGACGTCAGCCTTGTG